CTGCATTAGCGGCTAAAATGACTCTCCAATGTTCGAATGAATCATAGTTTCATTTTACCACATGAGGTTGTTAATAAGTTGTGCTATAGAATATGTAAGAGAAATTATATCTCATTCACAGATGTATAAGACTATGCCTTGAAGATTGGCTCAATCCAAAATTAACATTTATTAAGATAAATGCAAGTGTATCATCCCCATATTGGTACTCTTCTTTACTAGGTTAGCAGAATCAGGAAAGTAGACAGTTTAAGTTGAATTGCCTAAGATGTATTTTTGCATTTAACATGAACACTGAATTTTTTAAAGTTAGTTTTCATTTCCAAAACTCAATATAAACTACAATAAGAACTTACATTTTTGGAACCTCTAAATGTTTACTCTGTTTTTAATCAAGAATATTAGTTAAAGACTTTCTTAAAGACTTGGGAGATGTTCATCTTAGAAGAGAAAAAATAAAAGGGAAATCTAAAACTTTTTTTTTTCTTACCTTGCTCTTAAATCCTGTTAGTATGGTCCCAGGGAAACTGGGGGTGGTTATTCCTTCAGCTTCCCTTATTTCAAAGTTAGCATTGTTACCACTATATTACAGATTCTGGTGTTTAAGCTCAGATGGCTCCCCTGTAAAAACTATTTCTGGAGTCTGTGGTTTTAGCCAAGAAATCTTTGTATGCCATTCTTGTCACTTTTATACTGCAAGTTAAACAAATGTCCTAAAATGATTAATCATGCATTTTAAATAAGATATAAGGGCTAGATGATGATGGTAAGATATGAATTGGTTCACTCAACAGAAATCAGAGTAAAAACTGAAAATATCGAAAACATAATGGGAATTGAGCAGAGGTGTGTTTTTGCTTCATCCCCAAATAGTTTTTATTTTCTATGACAAAATAACTTCTAAAAATAATCTAAAAATTCTATAATAGTACTGTCCACTGAGTTGAGGACGAATATGTGGATTACTGTTTTAAGACATATATTTTGGAAGAAAAGATAAGCCATATGGCTAGTGGGAAATAAAGCAATATTTGGGGCCAGAAAAAAATGTATTTTCTTCTCTGTTACAAGGGACACGAACACCAGACTGTTAACTTTGTACTTTATCATAGCGATTGCAGCTAGATGAAAATGTCGGGTGGATGAATGTTGAATAAATCCATATGCCGCTGTCAAAATGCAGGAACTGGCTGTACCATGGACTTGCTCATAGGATCATGTTAAAAGTAGAAATTAAAGAGAATTTTAGAAAATCAACTAGACCATCAAATCTAATTTGTTCTTAATTTGCACACTTAAGAATTTATGTAAATTAAATTTTGGTTAATGAGTAATATTTAATGAAATTCTTATCAAACATAAATATCAATACATTTGGGCCAAACAACAAACATCGAATTTGTTATCTTTTCTTTTAGGTTAGAAAGTGGAATAAAGATACTAATATTATAGTTTACAAATTAAAATATGTGTTTCTCTGTCTTAGTAATGGCAGTAAATCTTAGTAAAGATCAGAAAAATATTTAAACTCTCTCAAAAGTATTTCTTTTGTTAATTAAAGGATAGCTATTTCATACTAAAGACAGGCTCTTTTCAAAATTATCTGGTAGAAGAGTCAATACATTGGAAGTCAACTAATAAAATCAGATTTGTGACAATTTTTACATAGTTCCAAATTTCTCCATTTGCATAAAAATGACGTTTCTGCTATAACTCTGTTTAATCTGTTTCATTTTGAAAAGTTAATAAATTATGTAATAATCAAGTTGCTGATTGAGTTGGTCCTTTGCTTCCTTTACAACTTCCTTTCCTTGGCAGGGTTATTAATATACTTTTAACCCTCTGAATGCATAATGATCTTCAGAACCTCAGGTTTTAAAGTTGCAAGTATCATCCTCCATAATCTCTAATCTAGCTAAAAGGCTCAAATTCTTTTATGGACTTAACTCAGTAGACAAGTCTCTAGTCAACCCCTTCAATGGGAAATATAATCATAGGACATCCTAAAATTTGATTCCTATTTTAGCATGCCTCCAGGTCCTGATCTAATCCAGAATAGGTCAAACTAAAGCTTTCACAGCTTCATTTTTAAGTTTTAAATGATTTTAAGTCCATGTAAATTTGGAAATTACTAACAGTTTAGGTCTAGTCCAGGATTCATCCAAATTGCTTTGCTATTTTTCTCAGGCTTTTCCCAATACCAGTATTACAGCAATAGAAGACAACTTCTGCTACTCGGTACATGACTTTCTATTTTAGTCGTAAGGTATTAGTATATACAAACTCAATATAAAAAGATGGAGGCTTTCCCTTTTTTTGTAGGAAATGTGGACAAAGGTGATGTCATTCATTCCTATTGCTTTAAATTCCCTGTATTTATATCTCCAGTCCAGACTTTTCTCCGTAGTTCAAGCTTCTATATTCAATTCCTACATGAACAACTCTCCTGGTATTTCAAATTTAACTTCTCTGAAATTAAATTCTTTCTTCCTGCCTCTCCACCCCAACTTGCTTCTGCTCCTCCCTCAGCCTCCAACTCCCAATCTGTTCCTCCCCCAAACATTTCTCTGTAAGTCAATGGCTTCACTAGCCTCACTACTAAAGCCAGAAATCATGTAGTCATCTTTGATTCAACCCTATCTCTAATCTGATACAAGCAATCCATCAGTGTATTAGTTCACTAGGACTGCTATAACAAAATACCATAGGCTGGGTGGCTTATAAACAACAGGAATTTATTTCTCACAGTTCTGGAAGCTGGAAAATCCAAGATTAAGATCCTGACAGATTCTGTGTCTAGTGAGACTTCTCTTCAGAGATGGCCATCTTTTCACTGCCCTTACATGGAGGAAGTGGCAGAGGAGCTCTAAAGGTACTAATTCCATTCATGACCAGCTCTGCTTTCATGACCTAATCAGCTCCCAAAAGTGCTACTTCCTAATATCATCACCTGGGGGTTAGGATTTCATCATATGGATTGTGGGGTGGGGACAGAGGGATGGAGGAGATACCCATTCAGGAAGCTCTATTTTTTTTCTTTAAACTGTGTCTTCAACCCATCACTTCTCTCCCTCTGCCTCCTCTGTTAATACTCGAATCTATCGGCATAATATTTCATCTATGCTACTACAACAATCACAATTTTACTAGCTGGTCTTCATGTTTTCATGCTTGTCTCCTTCCAATCCTTTCTCCTCAAAGTGGCCAATGACATTAATAAAAATGCATATCATATCATACAATTTTCCTGCCTTAGATATCTTGCTGGTTTTCCACTGGACCAATAAAATATAAGTACTTATCAATAAAATGTAAGCAATGATCTCTAAGATCTGGCTGTAGAAGCCTACTCAGATCTCATATTCTACCTTTCTCTTTCAAACTCCAGTTGCATTGGCCTTCTTTCTATTCCTCAAGCATACCAAGAACTCTTTTATGTTAGGACCTTTGTGCTTTGTCTATAGTTCCCTTTCCAGGCTTCACATGATTAACTCCTTTGAATTTTCAGGTCTCATGATAAATGTTATCTACTCAGAAAGATCTTCCCTAAGCTCATCAGGTCTCTCTACCTTATCACTGTTTTCTCTTACACTGACATGTTTTCCTCTCCTAGCACTTATCTAAAGTTCTAATTATATACTTTTTGCTTTATTGTCTTCTCTCCTTAGAAGAGTTTATGTTCCATGAGATGGGTACCCTGCATATACATCTGTCATGCTGATGATCTTAACCTTAGAATTTATGAGAGTAATTGATGATCGCTTAATATTTGTTTAATAAAACCATAATTATTTGAAAGAATGAAAGCCTGCTTATTTGAACATGGATTTTCTGATTATAGATTCTATGTTGTTTACACTCTAACATTTTGCTTATGAATCCATAGTGTTGTGTAAATATTTGTGATTGATACTAAAGTGCAAGATTTTCCAGATTTTTTAAATGTCACATACAAACTGACCATGAAGTTGGAAGAAATTTTACTTCTCTAACAAAATCATATTAATGTTAGCCCATGTTTTGGATTATTTTAAATTAAAATATAAGTTTCATATAAGTTTTTGCCTTCCTCTTCCTCTCTTTTCTTCCTCTGCCTGCCGGGCAGACAGAACCCCTGTGCCCAAATTGGGGGATGGCATTCAGACGGGGTGAAGAAAAACATTTCAGAGAGATATGCTTTATAGCAAGGCAATTCTGAGGAAAGTGTCTTAGGAAAATACCCGGTTAAATCCCAGGTGGCCTGTTCACATGAACCATGTAGCTGCATAAGCAGCTCAACATGACCCTGAGATGGGGCTCGGCAGACCTGATCTAGAGAAGTTCAAAGGAGGGAAATTAGTCCAGAGTAAGTTGCTGAAGCAGATTTTAGATTTTTTATAGGTACCTACCCTCCTAGGTGGGCAAGATATGGTCAAAGGTGTTGGCTCAGCCAGCACAATTAATAACGGGTATGAGTTCCACTGGAAACAAGAGACTCCACAGGGTTCTGAGACTTGTGACCCTTGAAATCTTTGAACTCTGTATTCCTTTTCTCCAAAGCAAATAGTCTTTCAGTAGTTAATCATTTACCTTGTTTTCTTCTAAAAAATGTATTTCACATAGTCGATTTAATTTTTGTGGTTTTTTTTTGTTTTGTTTTGTTTTTTTGCTTGTATATCAAATCTAGTGAATGCAAGTGGGGGTTGATGACATATTGATCTTCTAGGAGTTCTGTATGTCTATGGTGTTCTAGTTGCTACGCATTAGGGTGTCAGTTATAGTTATAAACACAATGAATAACACGTACGTGGTAAGGCCCTGGCATTTCCTTTAGCACGGGGACCAACTTCAGCCAAACACTACTCAGCAAAAGCCAACAAGAATGGATAAAGATTATGCCAAGCTTCCTCCTTCCTTCCCTTACTCTTGTTCTCCTTTCATTAATTAATTAACTCAATTTATTTAGCACTTACTGTGTACATTGTTCACTGCACAAAACAAGAAAAAGGATATAATCTTTCAAGGGTCTTCCAATTAAGATTTTATTTGAACAACAAAACATACTCACATGAAAATATAAATAAGGTAGAAGAAACACTGTAGTTTTTATGATCTAAAACAATATTTTTCGAATTGTAGGTTGCCAGTCATTCTTTGCTGGGTCATAAAATAAATTTATTTGGTTGGGACCATATTTACCAGAAAATAACAAATAAATAGGAGGGCAAAATACAAATATTAGTGTATACTGTAGGTAATAAAATAGATGTTTTCATAAAATTTTTGCAGGACAAATATATGTATGTACTACATGCCAATGTAAAGTGTAGGCCATACTACAAGACAGGGTTAAAAAAATGTTTGAAAGACACTATACAGAGGAGTATAGAAGAAAGTCAGATGATTTCAAGTTGAATGGTTAAGGAAGGAAAGTTTTTGGAGGTGCATGAGTAAAGCTGAGAGGCGGTGGGATGCCTTTTCAGATAAAAAGCTACCGAAAAGAATTCTATAATTGTGAACTATAACCATAAAAGAAAGTGAAATCTATAGAACCAGCTATTCTTGAATGAATGACTACCCCAGGACCAACTATCTTTCCAGAAACTTCCAGGAAACACATGACCAAAATATAACTAAACTGAACTCTGATGCCACAAAGGGAAACTTAACAGAGTTGTTCCTGTGAAGTATACTCCTCTAGAAGGGTGCTTCAAAATATTCTTCTGTCCAATTGCGTGTTCCAAATACATACATGTATTTAAGATACTGAGATTTAAAAAATGTGAAATATCTAAAGATTATTGTTCAACTCAATAAATTCAAAGTGATATTTTTCCCCTGTGTCCCTTGTATTAGATTCACTTGTGACTTACTGGACAGTGTTTTCTCTGAGCTCTATGGTCTAATATGCATTGAATAAAAATTCAAGGACTCAGAACTACTGATTTATTTTAGCATTTTTTTTTTAATACAAAAGAAGGAAATAAAAGAATAAAAGCAGTCGGGGTGGCCTCTGGAGAAGGGGAGCTGTTGTTGCAGGAATCTTGCAAGTTAATGAGAATTCACTCGGGACTCAAGAGCCTTGGAGAGAGGGAGAGAAAGGAGGAGATGGGGGAATGGGGTGGGGGGATAAAAACTCTTCCTTTGCAGCTGGCCCTTTCCCTCATTTGTTGCTCCAATAAGCAGTAATTAGGTCCTGAGCTAATGGTGTCAGCTGATCTGCTGTTTTTAGGCTAGACCCAGAGGAATCTCCATGGAAACCCTGCTGGAGTCGTCCCCCCACCTGGATGCTGCGCGCTCCTTTCTGCCACCTGGCTGCCGCCGGGCCCGCTGCTACCTCCTCCTGCCTCTAACCTGCAGCCTGCAGCATGCGCACTGCCCCCGGGATCCCTAAATGGGACAATTCTGCCCGTGACGTCAGCGCCCAGCCGTCTCCACAGAAACTTTTGTCCCATTGGCCAATCAGAGAGCTTGGAAGGGGCCGGGAAAGGTGGGGGGAGGAGAGGGGAGTGGGAGGGGTGGGGGTGAGGGGAGAGGCGAGAGGTTTAGTGTGTGGAGCTGCCTGCGCTCCGCCCGGGCTGTCAGTCCCGGCTCCAGCCGCCGCGAGACCTTCCCGGAGACGCGCGCACACACAGCGCACCCCCTGCACGCCGCACACCCTCGGCTCCCTTGCTCACACACACGCACACCCTCAGCCTGGCCGAGCAGGAGCCACTGACCATTTTGCAAGTGCCCTGACCAGCTGCAGCGTGGTGGGCGCAAACATCCCGCGCTCCCTTTCGGAGCTTTAGTCTAGGAGACGACGACGAGGGAAGAAGGTGGGCTCGGACGCAGCCCAGGGGCCGGGCGCTGGTCGGGCCGTTTTCCTGTCAGAGCCGCTCCCCGGGACGGGCGCGGGCCTCGGCTGAGAGTAGAATAAAGAGGAGCGGCCGCAGCCGCCGCGTGAGGACGATGGGAACTCCCCTATTTACAGCTCTGGAAACAAATGGATGGAAGTCCTGAATGGAGCAACTGCTTACTTCATCTGCTTGGAAAAATCGTCCAGAGGAACTCATATTTGGCTACTCAGAGCAGTGATGGGGGTGTCCGTGACGTGGCAGGGGGAAAATAGACAACTGAAACCTCCCGTGTGAACTGCAAACTGTGACCAAGCAAGGGGAAAACGATCTGTCTCTATTTCTTGCAAAAGGTTTCAAGCATCTGCATCCTAAACTTACTTCTATGTCTTGTACCCAGTTCAGCAGAAACCAGAGGAGAGTCCTGTCTGGGGGTCCCATCGTTATCCCGGAGACCCGCCGCCAGCGGCCTGCCTTCGTTTACCCACATCCCCCTGGAACGGATATCTGTTTGGGGCATTACAATTTATCCTGTAGAACTATGGCCAGATCTCCATCACTGCTTTGCTAATTTCTGGGACTTAACTCGTAGAATCTACATGCAGGGCTGGAATTTATTCCAAGTGTATCTGAAGAAATGACATTTTAAACCGTTTTTTAAATACCTTGATTTAAAAAAATTCCTGTGAAATAGGATTTGATAGGTTTAAAAACATGACAGGTAAGAACTTTCTCTCTTTCTAGTCCCTTGACACCCGTTTTGGGGAAAGTCAAAGAGAAACAGGACTCAGGAGGAAGAAGAGATCGAGGACCCGTGTGTCCTTTGGGGCTCTCAGGCGCTGGGCGGGCGGCTGCTTTCGGGAGAGGCGCAGCCCTCGCTCCTGGACCACGGGGCCAGTGGCTGGGGAAGCTTCTGGGGCGCGCGCGGGGAGGCGGCGCTGCGCTCCACCTGCTCAGCCCCGGACGCAGCCCGGGGGCGAGGCGTCGAGGGACCACCCCAATTCAATATTGGGATTTTTAATAAACCAAGGAATGGGATTTTAATTATTCAAAACCCAGCTCCTCTGGGTCAGAATGCTGTTGGGATGGTCCTGGTCACACAATATTAAAGAGACCGATCGCTAAGAGGACAGGAAAAGCGTCCGAGACCGCCGTTGCAATTACGAATGGACCAGACTTGGTAGCACAGGACATTGATTGCTGGTGCCCAACTGGACCCTCCTCCCCTCTCCCCATCCCTTCCCCCACCCGAGGCAGGCTCCCGCGGCGGCCGGGACCTCGCGTCCCTGCAACGTGGCGGGGGCTGCATTTTTCATGAGCCCTGGGTGAACAGGTGCGAAGTGCGCTGGGAGCATCCGGCCAGCGGCCGGACGCGGGGAACATGGAGAGCGAGCGCGACATGTACCGCCAGTTCCAGGACTGGTGCCTCAGGACTTACGGGGACTCAGGCAAGACCAAGACGGTGACCCGTAAAAAATACGAGCGGATCGTCCAGCTCCTCAATGGCTCCGAGTCGAGCTCCACGGACAACGCCAAATTTAAATTCTGGGTCAAATCGAAGGGCTTCCAGCTGGGCCAGCCGGACGAGGTCCGCGGGGGAGGCGGCGGCGCCAAGCAAGTGCTCTACGTGCCTGTCAAGACCACGGTGAGTGACTCGCCTTCCTCTGTTATTTGTCTCCGGAGCAGCCCGGCGGGGAGGGAGGAAGGAGAGAGGCGGGAGAGAGGGGGAGCCGTGAGCCGCCGTTGGCTCGTGTGCCCCCTACCTTCCTCAACCCCCTCCCCAAGTCGTCCCCACTCGCATTAGCCAGGCGCGTTTTCCCCACTGTGGAGTCTTTGTGGTCCTTTATTTTAAAGCGGCAGCGCACCTCCAGAGCTGGCCGCCCTCCCCGCCTCGGGCTCCCGGACCAGCTGCTGGAGCTTCCTTCCCCGGGTCGGGCGGCGTCTGGCGTCCTTGGGCTGGGCCATTGTCCCATGTCCTTCGCTGGGCGCCTGGCGCGTGTCCCAACGCCGCCACCGCGCAGAAAGGCCAGGCTGCAAGCCCGGCCGCACGCTCGGAGAGCAGACGAGTCTGATCGATAGTCTACAGTGTCTCCTTATTGGCATAAAGCCCGAATGTGGCGCTAGCGGTGGATGTGGGGTTTTCCCCAGGACACTATCAGGTTTTAGCGTTCGATCGCCGCCCGGGAGGCACTGGGCAGCCAGAGTGCCTCGATCACTCCCGGCGATCGTTGCTGTGACTGTTAAGATTGTAGATAAGGTCCTGGAGAGTCCTCCTCCCCGCCCCCCCATTCCCTTCCTCACTTCCCCCAGTCACAGATAAAGCCGCAGCTAGAAGATGAACAACAAAGAGGGTTGGGTTTAGGCGCTTTCAAATGGTGTGTGTATTTGTTCCTCTTTCTGGGGTGGCTCTAGTTTCATGGCGTTAAAGCTCTGTAGCCCAGGGGCCGTGAGGCACTGGCATTGGGAGCCCAGTGCATCTCAGCCTCACGCTGCAGAAGCCGGTGGGGCTGGTGAGCGGCGGCAGTGTCGATTTCCTTCCCAAGAAGATGGGAACTGTGGGCTACAAGTAGGATGGCAGATCTGATGCACGAGACCTTTCTGCATCACGCCACGGTGGGTACTCGTCTGGAGTAGGGATGGGGGAGGCTATCTGGCATCCTTTGTATTTTTGCCTTGCTTTGGGATTTCTTGAGCATTTCCTTCGTTATCCCTCCCGTACTGGCAACTGTTTCCCCGTGCAGTATTCCTGGAGGTGCTAGAAAGGAGACGTCTTGAAAGCTATTCTATCTCTAATGGAGGTATATTCAATTGAAAATATGTGCATGAAAAGTTATTTTTAAAGCATTATTTGGAAGGCTCTTTTAGGTTTCCAGATCAGTTTACGGTTTCCTGAGATTAATTAGAAATAGTTGTTTGAAGGATGTGTATTTATTTTAGAATTTATATAGAAGTTGAGAAACGAAAATAAAGGTGAAATGAAAACACATGAAAGTTCTGTGGTTTTTTTTTTTTTAAACAATGTACTATTGTTGGAAGATTTCTAAGAGATGGATCTATAAATGTGTCTTCTGCTTTAACATGTGGCACTACTAAGGACAATGGTGAGATTATTGTCTGGCTTTACTAAGCAATGAGGACTAGATTGGCATGAATTAGATAGAACTGAGGTCTATTTACATCTGGATGAGCCAGAAATCTGGTACACAGAATGAAGTGCTTTGATTAATTTGTATTGGGAATAATATCAAGAAATAATGTAGAAAAATATTTTTTTTGTTAGAGTCCAAAACATAAATATGTATTTTCTTTTGGACAATACTGAGCAAACTGAATGGATAAAATCATTTAAGATATCTTTACTTAAGGTATGATTTCATAATATATGTTTTAGAGGAACTCTGCTAGTTGGGAAGTTTATTTTTCATTCCTTTTTATGTTAAACTTAGGTCCCTCTATTTAACTGTCAGATAGCTTCACTTGGGCATTGGTACAATGAGTTTATACTCACGGATTTGACTACATCCACTATATGCCTTAACATGTGTACTTTTAAAAGATAAACTATTTTAAATAACATAAATTCAGAACAATTTTAGAGATACTAAGATCATCATAAATGTCATTTATTTAAACTAGCATTCATGCATTCATATACCACTATTTTCTGTCAAAATTTTATGCAGATTTGCTGAAGAATTACTTCTAAGCCATCCAGTATGGAGTGACAACTCCAGGGACGACATTAAAGTAACACGTGTTTCTCTTTTCAGTAAAGATTCCATATATTTATGGGAGAGAATGTAATTCATCAGGTGATACTTAGATAATGGTTTCCATGTAGTATTTAAGAGCTCTGCTTTTCATTCATGCCTGTTTTGAAATATTAAAGAAGTTTTAAATTTATGAACTCTTCTATTGCTATTTATAAAATTTTTATACTGCTCCTGACATAGAATTATAGGCTCCTCCTTCTTTGAGAGACAGCCAATCATCATTTCAATGAGTTAAAAAATAAATAATGGACCCCTTTTTGTCATGTGTTTCCCCACATCTCAAATTATTCCTTCCTTAGCAACATGTTGATTTTTCTAATGGTAGGAGTACAGTCACCAAGAAGACAAAAATATATTTTCTCTTAATTCCAAGGCATATATTTGTCAAAATAAAATACTGTATTTGAATGATATTTTTGTGTTTACTAAGAATCATTCTTAGCTGCTTGAGGTTTGAGGGTTCGCGGTTAGCTTTACTGTCAGTAAGAGATGCTTTGCTCCTGATGTTGCAGTAATCCACTGCTGCTGATAATTAGACATCATTACTACTGCGAAAAGGGAAAGAGAAAAGGGGAGAGGACAGGCTGGGGCTAATTAACTACTTTAGTTTAATGAAAGAAAGAGAGACTGATGGCACCTGGGAGGTTATACTAGAACAGAGTAGACACACTACATAGACTTAATTGAAACAAGACTATCTTTAAGTCTCATAGTTAAAGAAGCTTGGTTCTACTCTTATTTTCCGAAAATAAGAGATGTAGCTTTGCAACTCTCTTCACCCTGAAGAGTTAACTGATGATAAAATCAAGCAAGTTACAACTGATTTAAAAATATTGACTACTGGAAAGGATAAATATGTCCTTTAATATTTGTCCCGCTCATGTCTAAACCTGAGGGGACATATCTGTCACTGATGGTTAGACTGCTTTTTGATGTAGGAGATGCTGTTTGGTCACCAAGCAACAACATCCGGTAACTCAGCCATTTTAGGTCTGGTGCGGGTCCTGTGCTTTTGTGCGACCGCCTTTACTGCACACGCACGCGCATATGCAGTTCATTCAGCAACGCATCTGCTTTTTAGATAGTACCAGTTATTTTTATACATTCTTTCATTAAAAGTGTCAGAAATTTAGGAGAATGAAATGATGAATGACTAAAACAGTTCCAAAAAAGATATAGCAAATGGTTGACATTGATTATATCCAACTTTTAAGCAGTGATAGTTTTTAATTCACTTAACTATGGTTACTCTATTTTATGCATTTGATAGTTCTAGTTTAGTTTGTTTTTAGAAGCTTTTGATCCTGATCAGTGTTTTCTGGCAACAATTAGTGGAAACATCACACTTGCAATTTAAACTACCAGAACACGTTATACCATTTGATCTTGTGAATGGTAAACTTAGAAAATGAGCAGAACATTTATTAAACACTCTTTTTAAAAAGTCTGCTGCATGGTATAAAACATTAGGAATTCGGCAAGCTCATGCTTTTTCTTTCAATATTAAGCAAAGAAAGTAATGAATATGAATATTGAAACTGTATAATCAAATGATATGAGGAATACTTTACTTGACCTATATTTGTAGGAACAGACACAAAGGTCTAAATTATGCCTTTCTTATATATATTTTTTCTTATATTTATTCTAATACACATTATAAAATGAATTTCCAGAAAGAAAAATGCATTATCTTTAGTTGTGTCATTTACAAATGATTTATTCAGTTCTGCAATCTGTAGCCTCAGATTTCATATTGTTCTTCCTATGCATACTACTAACTGATTACTGTACAGTGATTATAATGAATATTCATGGGCTGATTCATAACAGTAACTGTTTTTGTACTTTTTCTGACTGTGGTTTTGGTCATAAATCTTTTGTGCTACATCAGAGTGAAAGAAATAATACTCCATGAGGAGTCATGTTTATGTTTCCACCTGGCCTAACTTTATGCCTAATGCACATATCACATATATTAGGCCTTAGTCTGGAATCTGCTACAGAGCCAGTTATTTATTATGATACTTCGTATCTGTGACAGAAAGACAAATCATCATAGTAGTCATTGAGATAGAAAAACATTTTTTCTTCTACAGTGAGCATTGCTATTGATAGCCAATGCATTTTTCTCTTCATAAAAGTACTTTGGGAGATCCCGTAGCATAGGATTTGGGAGTCAAATAAATCCCAAGAGTAAATATCAGCAATGTGGCTTATTAGCTAACTTAGTGGTTTCTTGTGAAGAGTAAATCATCCATGACAAGTCCCCAGCACAGGTCAGCTCTCAGGGAACAGTGGGTACCATTAGTAAAGGCCACTCTGGCTTGAGTATGAAGAGGCAGGATATTTTCTCTGAATATAAGGAAGAAATATGAATTACCCTGTTAATGTATGAAGACTATCCCACACTTATTTCTTGAGATTCCAATTTTTGATTTTTTCATTGGTTTTTCCTCATCCTATTAGTAGCCACAATAAGGAGATGGGACAAGATTTGGCACTTGTATATATTTATTCTATAATCTTCCTTTGTCTGCTGGGATTCTACTCCCCACGGGTTTACTCTGTAGACTCACTGCATAAGATGGAGGAAGGATGAATAAGAAAATACAGGCATATGACAGGAGAACTTTCAAGGGCTGTAATCCTGGCTCTGACATTTAGTACAGTTGTGGGTCAGCTAAAGTTTAACTAAAAATGTAGTTTCTCCTTTATAAAATGTTCGTATTAATACTGGTCTTACTAGTTTTGGATAATTAGTAGTGTATATAATACACACTAACATATACTATATATACATATATACACATATATACACATACATATACATGCACGTACACATAAGCATGTGGTGTATGTAGCATATTCCTGTCACATAGTAAATGCTAAAAATT